ATTTGTGTTGTTGAAAAAATATTTAAACCTGTATAAGTAAGGATAAATGCAGTAAGTGTAATTTAAAAGAGGAACTACAGTGAGACCCCCAGATGCGGACATAATTGGTGCATCAAGAGTGTCCCTATGTCGGATTGTCCCCAAGTTGAATCTTGTTTTCCCATAGACTTACATTGTATAATTTTTAATTGGTGTTTTATGGAAGAAATATTCTTCAGAATTTCATGAAAAAAAATTTTGCCACTTGAATTTGATTCAATGAATATTTTTTTCAAACCAATAAGAACATTTGGAACATTGAATAGTGTACCTCTGTACAGTAAATTGAAAAGTTGGCATTTGGAAAAATAACATCCATGTCACAAACAGAGCTAGAAGGAAGTCCCTCTGTGCTATAGGGCATTTTTTAAATTAGCTGAATGGATGGGAAAAGTACCGAAGAATTTTTCTTGCATAGATCTTGGGTTGGAAACATTTGTTTCTTGCAATTAAGCCTTATAAAAATCAATTTTCCTAAAATTTATTTTGGAATTTTATTGCAAAATGTCCCTATGTTAAGTCAATGTCCTCATGTCGGGACATTTTTGTGATTTTTTAATGGTAAAATAAGTGTCCCTAGGTCGAATCGTCCGAATGTGGGGGTCACACTTGTATATGTATTAATACTAATGAAAAAAAATGCTGCAACGAAGCCGATGTACTGTATAATATACTACATGAGAATGTTTTGAAAGATACTTACAAATGTGTCTGTACAATATATCATTCATGACGATGTGATGACCGCGATTGTTCGATATGATTTTCCAGTGTAATATACTGTACAGTACTGTATAAAAAAGAAAATAAGAAGATGTGACGCAAGAAAGGTTTTTGACGTGGGCCAAACATTGCAGAGGCTGAGTAATATATGCTTTGGAAATGGCGCCTCATGCTTTCCCTTTCGGTGGAGCAGTTATTCGCCAGAAAAGGTGTGGTTTCCATGGAAGGAATGGGAAGAAGAACGATATGGAGAGGGAATCGGGTTGCCCTTGTATGGATGAGCAGGTGGGCGAATGTATTGTATACTTTGTGATCCATAACTTTATTTATTATTTTTATACATGAGTTGAGATGCACACTTTTTTGGAAATTCCCAGGTGCTGCAGCTCATGCATTCAAGTTATTCAGAATCCAACCAGGATACTGCTGAATATATATACAGTACAGTGAGACCACCACATGCTGACGCCTTGACATGGGGACGATTCAACATGGGGACATTCATTTTTTAACAAAAAAAAAATCATGAAAAAATCCCCACATGAGGACACTGACTCAACCTGGGGACATTGCAGGATAAAATTCCAAAATAAATTTTAGGAAAATTGATTTTTATAAGGCTTAATTGCAAATTTAGAAAAGTCTTCTTAATTTGCTGTACAGCTACTGCTGCTGCCAATTTTCTGCAGAATTGCTAAATTAAATGCTAATTTGGTCAATATTGAATTGACCAAATGATAAAATTTCAGTATTGACAACTCCTTTGATCAACTTAGAATTTGTTATTGAACAAGAGCTTCTCAAAATTGCCCAAAAATTTAGCACATACTGTATATGTTTCCCAATCATTCTCAGCATCAGCATATTGGCAATAAGATGAAAGTTCACAAACACTCAAAAAAATTTTCTGAATTTTACCTCAAGAAAATTTTTCCTGACACCAATTAAACATTTCTCCCTTATTTCTTAAGGGAAATACTCCCTCGCTTAATGTTTTTTTCAGATAACGTTTTTTCTCGCTGCACCATCTAAAAACATTAGGCAAGGGTTGACTGTATAGTTATTATTTATACTGCAATTATTATATATCTGGCTCAGAAGTATGGTCCCACATTCACTTAATTAAAAAAATTCAACATACCAGAAGTTTAAACTCATCAGCCCCATTTACATGATGAACTTTTAAATTGTAGTAATGTACCAAAATTTGGAAAGAACGCGTTGAAATTGAGCTTTAAATTAATGTTGAAATAATGTACAGTATTGCAACGCATATATTTGCTTTAGTAAAAATTCTGTGGTTTATACATAACTATTATATATGAGAATTACAGCATTCTCAGAAGTTTCAGCTCATCTGCCCCATTTTGGTATGAAGAACTTCAAAGTTTTATTAACAAAATTTGGAAAACATGTTTTGAAACTGAGCTTAAAATTAATGCTGAAATAATTTATTGTAACCCACATACAGTACATATTTGTTGCAGCACAAATTCTGCAGGTTTCAGAACTATATTATAAAATACTAATACTGTTGGAAGCCTTATCAAAAGCCAAA